CGAGCCGCCTATGTCAATTCTACAGCGCATGCAAAGTGCAATATTTTGGTATTTTGGCGACGTAATATGGTTCCTGAGGCATTTAGAAACAAATTTCTATTAGGGTTTGATGCGTTTTGACGCCTAATAAAGCCAGAAAATCAATTTTTGTCGAATTCGATCCAAAATGGTACAGGTGGCGCTATCAGCGGCGAGCGGCGGAATTAAGAAAAACTAAAATTTTGATTTTCTCTGAAATTAGGCAATTTTACGTATTCCTGAGGGTCGGAAATTGTTCTGTGACCTCTCTAGAACCTATATAATGCCACAAGAACCTCCTCAGAGCGCCAGGAAAGAAAATAAAAAAATAGGCCAAAACATGGACTAAAAAATTGGCGTCCATCTAGCGGTGAAAGTTGGAACTACAAAAATATAAAAATGAGATTTTCTCGAAAATTAGCGAACTTTGAGTACTTCTGAGGGTCAGAAAATGTTATGTGATCGCATTAGGAGCAAAATAAAGCATTAGAAGTTTTCTAAAAGCTTTAATAAAGAAAATAAAAAAAATGTCATTTTATGGAGAAAATTTGTGCCGCCATCTAGCGGCGGAACTGCGAACTAAACTGAAAAAAACGTATGTCCGAACACGCAGTAAAGGGGATAGATAAAAATTGAATTTTTGGGCTTAATAGGCCGAAAAGTGAATAACTTATTCAACAAAAATTGCTCTAAAATGTCTAAAGATGCATACTACGTCATCAAAATTGCGAAACATTACTTTTCATATTTTTCCTTAATGCGTGTACTGGCATACGTTTTTTCAGTTTAGTTCGCAGTTCCGCCGCTAGATGGCGCCACAACTTTTCTCCATAAAATGACATTTTTTTTATTTTCTTTATTAAAGCTCTCAGGAAACTTTTATTGCTTTATTATGCTCCTAATGCGATCACATAAGACATTCTGCGCCTCGGAAGTACTCAATGTTCGCTAATTTTCGAGAAAATCGCATTTTTATATTTTTGTAGTTCCAACTTTCACCGCTAGATGGACGCCAATTTTTTAGTCCATGTTTTGGCCTATTTTTTTATTTTCTTTTCTGGCGCTCTGAGCAGGTTCTTGTGGCATTATATAGGTTCTAGAGAGGTCACAGAACAATTTCTGACCCTCAGAGATACGTAAAATTATCTAATTTTGGAGAAAATCGATATTTTATTTTTTCGTGGTTTCGCCGCTCGCCGTTGGATGGCGCCACGTGTATCGTTCTGGACCGAATTCGACAAAAAATGATTTTCTGGCTTTATTACGCATCAAAACGCATCAAACCCTAATAGAAATTTGTTTCTAAATGCCTCAGGAACCATACTACATTGCCAAAGTGCCGAAATATTCATTATTTCATTTTCCTTACATGCGTGTTCGGACCCCCATTTTTTAAGTTTAGTTCACCCGTTTCGCCGCTAGATGGACATCAATTTTTCAGTCCATAAACTGCACTATTTGTTCGTTTTGAACCTAAGTCAATAAAAAAAAAAAAAGAAACTGCACTATTTGTAATGATTTACTACTACGCATGGGGTCAAAGTTCAAAATTGACCGTTTAATTCCAAGAGTATATTTCAGCGCAGAGTGAAATTTTTTTCACCCCTTAAACCTAAGCGGCGAATTTTTAAAAATTCTAAAATTTTAAAATAAATTTTAAAATAAAGACGAGTGTCAGGCCACTGAAATGCTTTCAACTTCTTAAATAAGTTAATTTGCAATAGACTCTCCTCTTTCATATCATATTTACTTATTAAATTGTAGCTATTATGATTGCAAATAGTAACGTAAAATTCAATTATAGAGAAACGTTAACTTACATTTTAATATAATTTCTGGAATTACCTTCCTGAAACGTAAAGTATATAATATAACATCTTGCTTTAAAAAGTACACGCAAAAATTTGATTACTCCATTTCGAAAATGTCTAGTTTATTTATGAATTTCAAAATGTACAGTTTCTTCATCAATTGCGAAGTGTCTTTGCTTGCTTTTCCCAGGAAAATAAAATTTGCACTTGAGTGTATCCTGCTCGGTTCACGTTACTATTATTGCAAAGATGCTTAACCTTGGCCTTCATCTTCTCAGCGGAGAATTTCACCCGGGTCGGCGATAATTCGAAGTGTTCATATCGCGCGTTTATGGCGATCCGTTAGGCGTGGAAACCGGTTTCATTAAAGTTTTTACGAGTCAACGTTGTGAAATCAGAAAAATTATCGCCTTGCGATAACTATGCAAAATATACCGTTGTTCTTGAAGAAAAGTATCGAACTTGTCAAATTGTAGATCAAGTGCCCATGAACAGCTCATGGGTTCCATTGTGCACGGTCAACAATCAAGTATACACTTATGAAATATAGTCACCGTTTCAATTATTTCTTTATACTCATTTTCACATTTACAAACTTGTAAAACCTTTCTAATTTCAAAAGGAAAATTTAGGAATTTACAAAAATAATTTGCTTTTCTGTATATCTTCATCACGTGACGAATCATGGAATTTAAACTTGATTCATTAAAATTAAAATTTTGTTCAAATTTGCCCTAAATTAATTCGATATTAGTTCTTTATGTTAATTCTATTCATGACTGCTATTTGGAAACAATTATTTACAAATTAGTAAATCAATTTATTTTTAAAAGCATGACAGTCATATACAGCTATCAAGATGTACTGAATTATTGGATTGAACATGAATTTTTAATTTCCATATAGATATTTCCACCTGAAAATGACAGGTATCCCCTTGATATCAAATTCACTCATTAGTAAGTCGTAATTAGTTATTCTTGGAAATTCACAATGTTGGCGTTTCTTAACAACAACGTATATGTCTAAAAGTACAATACAACCGTTGCTACGTAACTTGCATGCTCATACGTCATTTAGTCGTCGAGTGCAATAAAAAACAAAATCTTCATTGATACGATGAAATCATTTATAAATACTTCTGAGACATCTCTATACATAGTTATATAAAATCATAAATGATTAACATTTCTTAAATCATGTTTATAAAACACTTACAAACTCTTACAAAATCACGTTTTATTTATTACTTAATTTTGAGATCAATGAAACTAAAATTTCTTTTACCGATGTTAAAGATAGGTTCGAAGTGAACGATCAATTTAAAAGTTACGATCTATCGAATAAATTGAATGATTGCTAATTTACTTTTAGTGATTAAATTAAAGTTTGAACTGAATTTCAAAATTACAGTCAAATTGAATCAATTAAATTCAAAGTTAACCAGCACTGAAATTAACTCTACAATTAATCAACTCGGCGATGAACTTGAATTACCTTAGCAATTAATTAGACCAATTTAAAACCCAATGGAAGATTTAGATTAATTTAATAATTAATACGAAATTTCAAGGGCATGACTCCCATAACTCAAAAGAGTACTAAAGTTTCTTAATTATTCTTCCTCGTAGTTGCATAACTGGTATCCATAAACTTGATAAGGATCGTCACCAGTTCGACATTGTTCGTATATTACGGGAAGCTCCAAGAAAAATGTAAATGTACACAATTCGTCTTAATCATTATTTGTCAGTCAAGCTGTGCCTCGTATGCATAGAGACGAGTATAGCCAACGTTTCTCTGAATTCCCAATTAACTGCAACTGATTTATCGAGCGACTATCCCTGACACGCGGCAAAACTTCAATGTCAAAGAACCCTACCTTGTACACGTGGCAAGCGGTTTATAAAGTGATCCTCCAATAAAATGATAATTATGCACTGATAAAATTTATGACGTCCGACGTAATATATGTACATACGTGAATTCATTAAATTTTGTGGCGGTTGTTTTTTAGTAATTCAAAGAGGACTGTTGGTTTGACTGAGTTTGAATTATGGAGAATTTGGGGATTTCTGGATTTGAAGATTTGGAAGATTGCTGGATTTGGGGATTTCGGAATTTAGAGAATTGGAGGACTTCAGGATTTGGACATTTGGGGATTTCGGGATTTGGAGAATTCAGAATTTTTTGATTTGGAGATTTGGGGATTTGGGGATTTAGGAATTTCTGGATTTGGAGAATTGGAGGATTTCAGGATTTGGACATTTGGGGATTTCGGGATTTGGGGAATTGGGAATTTTTGGATTTGGAGATTTGGGGATTTGGGGATTTGGGAATTTCTGGATTTGGAGATTTGGAGGATTTCAGGACTTGGACATTTGGGGATTTCGGGATTTGGAGAATTGGGAATTTTTGTATTTGGAGATTTGGGGATTTGGAGAATTGGGGAATTTCATAATTTCGAGATTTGGGGATTTCTGGATTTAGAGAATTGGGGAATTTCGGAATTTAGACGTTTTGGAACTTCTGGATTTCGAGAATTGGGGAATTTCGAGATTCGGAAATTTGAGAATTTCTAGATTTGGAGAACTGGGGAATTTTAATATGTAGAAAGCTGGGAATTTGGGGATTTAAGGAAATTTAAGAACTTGAGAAATTTGGGAATTTGGTAACGTGTCGATTTTGGGAAATTCAGAAATTTGAGAATTTGGTAATTTAAGGATTATGGAATTTGAGAATTTAGAAATATAATAATTGGGAAATTTGAGTAGTTAGGCAATTAGGATTTTTAGAACTACAGAAATTTGTAAATTTTCAAGAATTCCTAAATTTATCAACTTCAGGAATTGAAGAAATTGGGAAATTTAGTTTTATTAATCAACCTATAAATTTCTATTTGAAAAAAGAAAATTTTCCATCAAACAAAATACACAGTAAATAAAAATGAACTAAATAATCTAATTGTGAAATTTTTGTAGTCACACGTCTTGAAAGTTCGTTTTTATCATTAATTATTTATTAGCTTTCCCAAACGAGATACGCTCTACTCTCTAAAGATAGCGATTGGGGGAAGAAATTTGTTTTGAGGAAATTTAGGTTCGAAACACTAATTGACGTAGTATTGTGTCCGAGCGAAACAGTAGAGCATCGCTCCTTCCTTCGTCAAACAAAAGTTTGTAAATGGCGTGTTGCACGCCATAACGCGTCCTGAAACAAAATCAAAGCGACATCGTGACTGAATCTTGCACATAATTTACGTTTCTATCGCGATCTTTCGATTTTCAAAGTTGTTTAAAAAAATAACAGCATTCAACGATCGATCGTTAGATCTGATAGGTTCGTAATCTTGTGACGATTTGTGTATTTCTGATCGAGAGTTACGTGAATCAAGATGAGTACTGAGGAGCCAAATTTCGCGAACACCAGGACCCTGCATTTCCAGAATCTCGACTTGGGCGACAACGTCAAAGTGGAAACTCCTCGATCGGAACGAGTCAACATTTTCGACAACGTTTACAAAACGACAACCACTGAAAGGTACGTTCTCTTCTTTTCGTCGAATCAGCATTAAATTAAGAGATTGTATTGCAAAGCAGAATAATTCAACAAAAATTATTATTGGGGGAGGTGCATAGTCTTTTTTCTCAAAGGGGGTGTTTGTTCCTTTTTATTTGAATAATTATAATCTTATTATATTGTGTGTTATGTAACCTTATTGCAATTTCGTATCTCCTAATAAAAATTTCCAAGGGGGAACATATCTAATAAGCGCAGTTACCCTATTTTATGATATTTTCAATCTTACAATAACATGTTTTCCGTAATTAATCTGTAACCACATAAGAATTAGTTCCTATGCAGAATTAAATATACGAGGGAAGAGGTGATTACTTCAGTGCAAAATAAACAGTAGATAATGAAAAAGAAGACCATAATGTTCTTCTACTTCTCAGTAAAAATATAAGAAAAAGTCCTTTTTTCTACACAAATAGAATCGACAAATCTTTTTACATTTTACCGAATTAATTCTGGAAATTTAATAGTATTTTATTTATTTCTTACTCAGAATTTAGTTTGGTATAAAATAAAATGCCAAACTACAAGTTAGCAATTGAAGCCCATATAAAATCAAGTGAAGTTAGGTTACATTGTATAGGTTATGTTTAAGTTTTCCTTAAATATAACTTATCTATTATTATTATTGAACCGTCCACCAGTATTAGAATATCATAAAATAGTCATAACAGAGACATTAATTAGAAATAATGTCATTAGTAGATTACTGCCTTACATTAACTATTTCAGAAACGTTAATGATTGTTATTAGTATCATGAGGTATTTACCAACATCGTTTCTGTGATTTCACTTTAACACGTTGACAGCCACGTCGCCCATATATGGGTGACACTTAAGTTTATACTAATCTAACATGTATATTATTAAAAATTTGTTTACTTTCCTAAAAAATTGTCAAATCAATTACATGGATCTGTGAAAAATAAATGCAAGATATTGTGGAAAATATTTGGTATTTATTAAGAATTAAAACACTGCTTGATGCAATTTTCAATTGTTTCAGTGTGGTAATCGAGACATAGCGATTTGTGTTAAACATCGATTTCAAAATGACATTGACGTTGCTATACGATGATTATAGCAATTAGTGCAAAGTGTATCGCTGTTTCAAAATTTGACATTGTTTAACAATATCTATAAACGTGTTAAATTTCTAAATTTTCAAACTCCTGTTTTTTCAATTTCAAAATTCCCAAATATGAAAATTAAAAAATTCCCAAATTTGAAAATTCAAAAATTCCCAAATATGATAATCCAAAAATTCTCAAATATAAAAATCCAAAAACTCATAAATTCTACACATAAATACACAAATAATATATCACAGTAAATATTGAAACATTAACCCAAAAGATCCATGCACCAAAGATTTCGAAATGTTCATACACAATGAATATCTTCTTCCCGACGAGCTCATTTCCCTTTAGGTGTTATTTTTTTCTCCGATCGGTGAAAGCAAGAAATGTCTGCTTTCGAAAGGAGTTATCAGACCTTTTACGACTCATTTGAGACTTGAATTCACCTCGTTAGCATCACCGCCGGTATTTCTTTATAACGGAACACAGAGAACGCATTCGAGCACGAACGGTGCAGGTTGCATTTTACGGCGCGGTTTATTATACGTTGCTTTTGATGACCAGCAAAAATAAACACGTAAATCGTGCATTAATCTCTTTCTTGTCGTCTTGAAACGAGGATAATCAATTCTAGAGTTGAATTTTTAGGTGTAGCTTAAGAAATTTTTAATGGGGCAGGTGTTTGAACGAAAAAACCTTTCGACAAATTTATTTCGATAGATCCTGGATTTTATGATGAGGGATATTGTATCTTGATTATACTGTTTTAGTACTTGACTGTGTAATGTACCGATGTCAAACCATAAGTTGGCGCGCGAAGAGGTTCAGGTGTTTAGAAGAGCTGCGGCACTATTGGTCAGAATCTCTATTTTTCTGAATCTTTATATTTTTGAATTCCTACATTACTGAATTTCTACATTTCTGAATCTCTATACTTCCGAAACCTTGTATTTCGGAATCTTTACATTTCTGAATCTCTACATTAACGAATTCCTACAATTTTGAATACCTACATCTTCAAATCTCTCTATTTCCAAATTCTCACATACCCAAATTGCTATATCTTCAAATTCCTACATCCCCAAATTCGTACATTCCCAAATTTCTACATCCCCAATTTACTACGTCCCCAAATTCCTACATCCTCAAATCGCTATGTCTCCAAAGTCTCACATACCCAATTTGCTATATCCCCAAATTCCTACATCCCCAAATTCTTACATTCTCAAATGCCTACATCCCCAATTTACTACGTCCCCAAATTCCTATATCTTCAAATTGCTATGACTCCAAAGTCTCACATACCCAAATCGCTATATCCTCAAATCGCTACGTCCCCAAATCACAACGTCTTCAAATCACTATGTCCTCAAATCACTACATCCCCAATTAGTCAGAATAGAAAAATGGACGCCTATCACACGTATTTTCGGCGGTATATTGACTCTCGCGATCACACACCAATTACAACAACAACAGTCGACAAACGTCTCAAGGATAAGTGAGATAGTGCTACTTGCGTCCAGCAGTTGTTAAAGTCATCATTATTCTTATTTGCCCAAAATGTAACACTGGAAGTGTTCACGGTGGGGATAGGCTTTTTCTACTTTGATTCGACCTCACGCCAACTCGTGGGTTCACATCTGTACAGGATATCTATGTGATTATTTGCGATATCAACCAAAAAAGAACGTTTTACGTAGGCGTTTATCTTTTGAACTGGTAAAAAAGTAGCAGTAATCTTGTTCATTAAAAGTTATAATTATCTTAAATTTTTCTAGAGAGTATTATATAATATAAACTCGTGAAATATTCATTTATGCGTTTGAAACGCATAGTACAAATATATTTGAAATAAACGGAAGCATGAGATTAAGTCGAAGCAGCAACGCCAGCCTAAGTAAACGAAATAAACCCTCGAGCTAAAAATAAATAAAGTTCAAAAGCTAAAACTATGACCAGTCTTTGAAGAGATCAAAGATTTTCATGAACTAGAATCGAATCACATTTTGTTGCATTGTTTGATAGAAAGGCATAAAACAGATTAAACGTTGTATAACTTCTGTTAAGACTGAGCGATGATAAACGTGGATGTGATCAAAGGTTGTTCGGAAATCCGCATCTCTTCCTAAAATATCTTTCTTCTATCTCTTATTTTCTTCTTTTTTTAATAGACATTTCCGATCGCGTCATGATATAATGAACTACACTTATTGCCGATGAATCATTCGATCAAATCTAAAATTGGAGAAGAAAACATTTCTACGATAGATTTACAGCGAGACGATCGATCATCGTGTATCGAATAGCTTGTTCGAACAACGACGCGATGAGACGACGAATAATCCGACGTTTATTATGCAAATGTGAAATAATACTTTGATCTTTCAGAGATATGAGGAACCGGAAGAGCCATTTTGGTGGAAGGGTTACGTGTAATACGATGGAGGTTTAAGTGCTAACTATCAATTTTTAAACGCGGAAATTTCATACATTTTCAATATTTTTGGATTATAATATTTTAATATTTTTTAGTTTTCAACTTTCTATATTTCTTTTTAGGCTGAACAACTTGATGATTTGTAAATTTGTATATCTGAAAGGATAATTTGCAAATTTAGGAAGATTAGATTTTAGAGTCTGAAATTAAAGAATTCATCATTTCTATGGTTCTAAACTTTCAATTTTAAGAATTTGTGTATTTGTATAATTGAATATTGAATATTTCTATATTTATAAATAACTATATTTATCAAACTTGTACATTTAAAAATTTACTACAAACTTTATGAAATTTATTCTGAACTTGAACATAAATAAAATCTCGCTCAGTAATTAATTTAACTACCATTAAATAAACCCTTCGACTTGAAATTGTCTCATACCCTGTACAGACGTTGAATTTGAATAGAAACAATAAAATCTCGCACAGTAATTAATGTAAACACCATAAAGTAAACTTCTCGACTTGAAATTGTCTCCGACTCGTATGTACATGAACATTCGATCCGTTTTGTATCCTTGAGCATCATGCAGCGATCACGATCCGAGTTCGGTTAGATCGTTCAAATGCTTCGTAAACATCCTTTAATTCGTAGAACAGCGATGTACGTGTGTAGCGCGTGATTATTAGGGAAACAGCAGAGACACGAATGAATATTCATGGTTGTCGAACGCGTGGATTCGTGGTGAGTCCTGTTCATGCACACGGACCACCAAATTACGCGGTTCTAACGCAAATTACGATTTACGTAAGCTTCGCGAGCGACGCTGGTAAGCGAGACTACAAAAGTGAAACGAAACCGAGAATCCGACCACGTAGTCTGCCGGATCGGTTAATTACCTGTGAAGTTGAATTCTGTTAATTACCAGTTCCACGGTTACGGCCAATCAGTGAAATTGCTCGTACCGATTGTGTTTAGAATGGAGGACACCGAGTAACGCGGGTGAAAATCGCCCGGGTAATTCTTGCTTTTTATCGCGGTATTGTCCTCGGTGAAATTTGCTAATGAAGTTGATAAAACACTGGCAATTAGACTTTCGCTATTGTGCCGATAAACGTGCAAAAAGTGACGGAGGAAGTATAATCGGGAGCGAATCGAGAGGAGGTAGTAATTAGAGGAGAGGTTCGCTGGTTTCTAGGGATTTTGCAGATTTTTATCTGAGAATTTCTTAGGTTTGTATGTAGGGATTACATTTGATGGGTTAAAGCTTTGGAGGTGCAGGAATTTGGATATTTTGGGATTTAGGAATGTATGGATATGGGATTCTAGGGGTTGGGTGTAGGAATATGTGGATGTGGGAATATGGAGATTCAAAAGTCTGGGTACTCTGAGATTTTGGTATTTATATATATGGGATTCTAATAATTTGGGAGCCTAGGA